TACAGGGTGTTGTAAGGGCTAGAGAGACAGTGAAAGATATTTGCTCTTGGATCAGACAAAATCAAAACCTAATCTGTTCTTATTCAGTCACATCACAGGATACCATTAAATTGGTATTACAGGACAATAGCTAGTTTCTGGTGGCTGACTTTGTGTATACCTAAGCAGAAAGTGGAACTACATCTGCCTTAAATTTTTCCCACAATTATTCTTTAAGCTGCTGTGATATTCACAAGTTTGATTCTTATCCAACTAGTGGGTTGTAAGCATGAGTTTCTACCACTGACCTATGAAGTAATTAAGATCAGAAAACAAATTTCCTCTCCAGATGAATAAAAGAACATGCCCACCATTTCCCCCTCAAATTCTCTCATGAATTGCAAATACCTGCAGCTTAGGGTTTCAGAGCCTCTCTTTTCATCGATGTGCCCGCTTGCAACAAAGCATGGTATGATGAACCTTTCAAACCTCCCACTGAAATCCCTCATCAGGGAAGCCTGGGCTGCCAGGTAAGCATCAGAGCTAGAAAATCCAGGAATAAGAATTGTCTTACTAAGTGAGAGAGCTAAATATAAATCTTGTTTTTATGACCTGTACTGAAAGCACTTAAAAATAATTAGTGGATTGCAATGAACACGAGGTGTCTCAGGTCTCACACAGCCATGTGCCTGGCATTTCAGTGTGCATTTACTTCCAATGACTTCTAAATTCCTCAGATTAGGCAGAAGTGTGGTTCCAAAAAGTTGAATTATGTGCTAAACAAGGGACCTCAAGCATCAGATTTTGCACCTCAATGTCCAAATTTCTAGATTGCACATGCTGTTAATGTTAATTCTCACTGAGGGACACATTTGTAAAATGACTATTTAAAACATACATTTTACAACACTGTTACATTTCCAGCACTGAAGATGACCATGACTGATATGATGGACTATGTAAGCCCTCAAAAAAAGTTAAAAAATTAACCCAAGCCCACAGATATGGGCCATCAGAGGGTTTCCACCTGGGCTGAACGTATTCAGCTCTGTCAGACCTATTCAGAACTATATTAGTTGTTTCTTTTAGTAACTAAGTTCAGCCTTCTAGTTGCTCTTGAAAATAACACCCTTGTTGGTTCAGCCAAATTTACCCATACAGCCACATCTCGTGCTTTCTGATGGATTCTTTGAAGTCTTCAATCCCTCTGATGCATAAAGGGATTCTTTGCCTGACATGAGAGGGTACAGCTGCGTGGCTTAAAAGCAGCACTAATTTTGGAAACAGCCTTTGCAACACTGCTGAAGCTGTTTCTTCTCTATGCTTGGCTGCCTGTCTGCCTGTAGGTTTCTGTAGGTTTATTACAGCACCCAAAGAGAACGCTGTGGACTCAGTACGAGGTGCTCTTGCTGACTCACTCAGGGGTTAGCTCTTTGAACGTTGGTGGCTCAGAACTACTCCAGGAGGTTGAGGGTTTCCTGCCTCCATCCCTCACAAGCTGCCTGGAAGACTGCTGTCTGGGAATGGAAATGCTTGATCTCTTCCCCTTTCTCTTTTCATCTTCCTTCAGTTTCTGCAAATACACACCCAGAGACATCACACACTGAGGTGATCACTGGCAATCCAGTCCAGGCCTATTTACAAACACACAGTCCCTGGCCCTAAGAGACAGAGGAGCAAGGTAACAGCAGGGAGATTATGGTAACAAGCCACAGACACAGTGGTTACTTCATACATTCCTAAAAATGTAAAATTAAGTTGAAATGGACATATTTTGCCCTAGCTTAAAAAATCAGGTTCCCCTATTGGAGCAGAGGAGTAAAAGACTGTCTCTCATGGGAATTTTACCTACATATTTCATAATAAAAGACAACCATAAGTGCTCACACAATTTAACTTACCCCCAGGATTGCATGTAAAGCCCATGTATGCTGTACATCTGCAAGTGTAGAGACCTTTTCTTTTTAGTAGCACTTGCATTTAACATTTTCAAGAAATTCCTCTAGGAATACTTTTGAAATTGTTATCAGGAAGGTAAATTATTGCTCAGTAACAGACTACACATTAAGTGCAACAATAGAGTCATACTCTTTTCCTTTACAGGCAGGTGTTACATGGATGATGAGTTTGGGCTTTGTTAATAGGCAAATAATTTTATGATAAAAATACCACCCAGAGAAATGAGTATCTGGAAGGAACCGACCAGCAGCACGTGCTAGTTCTCAGCATTCCTTACTTGTATTTCTGGCCCTGTTGCAGCTGCTCCAGAAAGCCTCCGAACTGCCTCTTCTCTGATTAGCTGATCTGACAGAGTTGGTCTGAAGGACACTTGAATCAAGCTTTTCTGGGAGTGAGAGCATGACAAGAACCATGGGCAAAATTCAGTCCTTATGCATGTGTTACACCCCCAGTGCTCAAGAGGAGCACATGTACATGACAGCAAAAACATTAACAAATAAAATGCAGTTTTTTCCAAGTGAATACGAGGATCCTAAGGCTAAGGTCACCTGCAGCTTTTTTGGAAGTCCATTATGTTACAGTGAGCTGGTTTTCATGGCCAGTATTTTTGCTATTTAAACATTCTTCAAGTAAATCCCAATGACAACACTAGAGAAAGAACAGTCTGGGTAAAAGCTCCCATAAAGCATTAGCCAGATTTCGTGGTTAACCCCACATGCCTAATTTAAAACATTATTTCCAGCAATACAAAATATTCCAGCTATATAATCTACATTTTGAGCTTTCATTTACAAGTGACAGCATTTGCAGGGATGCAAATTATCAAAAGATTTGGCAGAGCACTTGATGTTTGAAGTGGATTTACCTTCCCAGGCAACACAGTTCCAACAGAAGGTGTAATTGTCACTGGGCAGTCTGCTGGCACGTGGAATTCAAACGAAGTGGGCCCAACAGGGGCAACTTCCCCACTGCCAATTCTCGGGGCAGCATGAGTAAGGTGGCTGACACTCACATGGGGATTCATCACATACAGTCTTGCTGTAGACACATCATTTAAAGCTGTTGCAGCAAACTGAACTAAGGAATGAGACAATTCAAGAGGTGGGTGGACTCCAACTGCTCTGCATGACAGCTTGAATTGTCTAAAAATAAACACATGATAAATTGTCTCAGCATAAAATAGTCTCCTAATCAGCCCGGAAAATAAGGAACTAATCCTGTGGTCCCTATTTAAGCAGAATTTCAAGCTTGCAATGGGAATTTTGCCTAAAGATGAACAATAATACTATCTATTTTTAATGCACAATTGGCTAGAGTCCCTGCTTGGATTCTTCCTCTGTGAACTTCTGCAAGTACATCCAGTCAAATCAAAGTTTATGCCATTATTATTTTAGTAGCATTAGCTTAGTGTATGAGGCATTTTTACAAAAGAAAAAAACCCAACTTCAGTCATTCTGCTGAAAAAGCAAGTGGAACATGGCAGATTAAGACAACCTGGGGCAAACCTGCAGTTTGGATATGTGCCGAGGACAAATTTCAGGTGGGATAGGAAAAGCCACCTCAGAAAAGACAGATGTGTAAAGGGAGGAGACTAACAGGCCTTGAGCAACTCTTGTCAACTCTAGAACTCCCACCTGCCTCACATTTTCATCCCAGCCTTACCTCTTAAAGCAGGCAGGGATTTTCAATTCTGAACTAGCTTAACAGTGGAACTAGAGTGTCATTTAGACTTCAAGGTTACCTACCACTGAGTTTAACATACCTATTAATCTCTGATTTGCAGGTTAGTTCAAAGCTGTACTCTTTTGCCTTGGTAGCTTTAAAGGTTATGTCCAATGTCAGGCTTTCAAGGGGAAGGAGAATTCCAAGTCCATCATTGGGCTGAATTTCAACAAACTTAAAAATGGCAGGATAAAAATTGTTAGTAAAATAAGAAATTACTAGTTAAATTCTCAAATTACTGGGCATTACTGGCAAGATAAGAAAATTTTCCTCTTATATGTAGACGTGTCAGGAAAACAGAAACCTCTTAGTGAGAAGCCTTCATCTGAGATAGGGGCTAGTGCCTGACTGATGTGCAGATTTGTAATCTCAAAGTAACTTGAAAGGCACAAAATCCATTAACTCAGGCTTCAGTAGAATCTCTTTTCCAGCTTCTTACCATCTAGAGTAATCACCGTTCTCTAATTATGTTTATTCTTCATAGACAACTGAATGAAATGTGATACAAATCTCCACACAGTCCCTCTGTCTTTGGTGAGCTGATTCCTGTGTGATGTGCAGATACCACAGTGACCAGCATCAGTTCAATAGCTACAAAATAGATTGGTTTGTGTGTGATGATGATTCAAGCATGTCTCCCATCATGTTTTAAGCTAATCATGAAAGCCATGCTGTGAAGTAAAGCTTTAACAATGCTGAAGAAACCAATTTCTTTTAGCTAATTCCTTGATTTTAATCCCTAAAACAGCAGAGAAAGGGAGAATGCCTGACTAAATGTCAGGTTCCTCTAGCTTGAGTTCCAGTGTGCCAAACCATTTCACCCTGTGATCATCATGCTATTATGAAGCTTGAACAGCCAGCTTTTCATAAAAAGGATAATTCAGTAGGCTGAGCCCAGAGGAAACTGGCAGCTCCTGGCATTAATTTAGCTTCCACATCAACCTACAGTCAGTCAAAAATACCTAGGCATGGTTCAGGGGAGGATTCCCACTAAGCAGCTGGGATGAGGCCACCTGGCTTTAAAGACCCAGTGGTGAGGCTTTTGGAAGCAAAGTGCAGGATATCCCCCAGCCTCAAGGCCACAGCAACAGCCCTAAGCCTGCTGCTTTGGGTAGTGTAAGTGCCCTGTGAGCCTGAAAGGATTCTGTGCTATTCTGTTAGTAGAACCAGTACAAACTAATCTGCACTCACGTTCATACATGGCTTTGTATTAATTAAATTTTAATATGGGGTGGGGGGATAACTACATACCTCTGGAAGTCCCACAAATCCAAACTCCTGTGGCAAGATGGATTTGTTTGTTAGCATGACATTGGCCTGCACAGCTTCATAGATGGTGCAGTATCCAAAGTCAATGTGTGCTGGGCTGATCTCCAGATCAGAAGTGGTAACAATTGCATGCACAGTAAAATTAACTTTTTTAGCCTGAGACAAACACAAAAGCACAGGATAAAAATCTCCATCTGTAGCACTGTAAAGACAGGATTTAAGTGAAATATTATCCCAAAAAGGTAACTGCAAAAATTCTACTCTATTTATTCTATCTATCTTGAACTTCAGCCTCATTGTTCTCCAAACCCAAGCCACAGGAAATGTCTCTTCCATACACAAAATTTAGAAAAGTAATATCTGTATCTCAAATTCCATATGCTGGAGTGGAATCACACCTACATCTCCAGGAGATGTAAACTCTAAGAATATGTTACATCTGCAGTACAGATCAGGATGGAAAGATTGTGCTATGGTATCTGATAACTCTGGTACAAAGTGACTAGGGAGCAGAGGAGCACTAGCTAGCAAAGATTTAACTTTGTGTTGTGAACACACAAGAATAAACTACCCAATCTGTGTTATCACTTGAAGCACCTTTTCCTATTATCATAGGCCTTCAACTACAATTAAGTGAACATTTCCTAAAATAATTTATATCCATCATCAATCTGATAACCAGCATGAAAATCATTGACCTTATCCACAATCAGTATTGTCACTGGAACTTCCAGAACTCTCGTCTCTTCATTAAAGTAGCTCCCTGCATCTTCAGGAAGAGATTGCCTAAAAATCAAAGAGTACATTCAGTTCCATTAAAATATTTTGACTGGTTTCTAGTCCAGGGAAAACACAGACCTCTGTGAACAACTCAGTCATCTAAAATCCTGAACAGCTTAGAACTGGCTTTAGAGCACAAGCCTCCTGCTCCCCTGCTGCAGCCACAGCACAGCCCCACCTGGGCCACTCTTCCCTTGGACCCTGCTGGTAGCTGACCACCAGCCAGCCCCAGGCAGAACCAACTGCACCACAAAGCAGAGACATGAAGAGAGACAAAGCTGGGAGACCAGCAGCACCTGGTTAGATACCAGGTTAGTAATTTATAACAAATACAGTTTCTGTAGCTGAAGCATCTTGGTACCATAAGCTCAATTTCAGAGCTTCGAGCCAGGACAATACAAAAGCTGCACCATTTTTAGCTCTGCTGGTCTATTTATAGAGTCTTACAGCACCAGAGCAAATGGGCTCCTGTTATTAGGTCTCCACAGCAATACTGTTCCTACTACTACTACTGGAATTACATGTAGCTTTTAAATGCATTGTTAGAGAAGAGTTAACCAATATAGCAGCCTCTCAGTCACCATGGTGATCTGAAATCTTGCTGGCTCTTATGCTGCAAGTCTGAGATGTGACTTTAGAAGGTGATCTTCAAAGGTATTGTTGACTTGTTTAAAGATAAGAATGGAGGTCAAGACAAGGCAGGAATAAAGTATCAGCTTTCCTTTGTCACAGGACATTAGTATAGCATGAAATAATCCAGAGGGGGTAAAAAGCCCTCTCACTGTACATAGACAGTGGTGGACTCTAAATCAGCTGTTATGCCTTGGGGACAAGATACTGAAATCCTTCAGAGAGCTCTCTGAAAGTGGCATGTTCATGCTTAAAAGCAATTAAAAGGAAGCAAAAAAGAGAAATCAGATTTAGGTTGCTAGCCTCTGCAGGAGTAGCTCCAAATGGAGAAAAAACTTAAAGATGTGGTATTTGGGAATTCTGAAAGTCAGCAGATGAGAGAATTTGCCTGCAAATAAACAGAAGAAACACTCAGAAAGTTATGAGTACTGCAACATCTGACCAAGCATTTTGGTGTGCTCAGAACACTTGGGAGAACTTCCCAAGCCCTCAGTCCTCTATCTGTTCACTCAGCATTGCTGAATGAGGGGTTCTCTTCACTGCTGTGTGGTTTTTCACACAGCTATTCTACTGACACAGCTTGCCACAGCAAGTCTGGGAGGCAGCATTTACAGAAGTGTGTCACTGGTGCAGTACTCCAGCCTGCAGCAAGCTCATCAGGTCTTTACATCTGATCTGTAAACTGCAACAGCCAGATACTTACTTTGTGTCAGAAGTGCCTTAATCTCATCAAGTCTCCTTTCTGAAGCTTCCTCCTTTTTCAAAGGAAGATTAATGCCCTAAATCCAAGCTATGCTTCTACCCACTAAGTGTAACAGTGCTTTACAACATCTGAAGTTTAGGAACTGGAAAATGTCATAACAGTTACTGTTGTAATCTGATAGGATTTGAGATGTTGGAAGCACTGTAAATACTTTCAGTCCTGTGAATATTAACCTGGTGGAAGTTCTGCTGTTGGTGATTAGACTCAGTCTGGGATGCAGAGATGCTGAGCACATCAGTTAAAATCCAGACACACTTACATCAGGGGAGCAGAGAACCTAGACCAAAAAAGCAGCAGGTCTGCAGCAGCAATCAAGGCAGAAGCTGCTGAAGTATTTGGCTGTACACCAGAATTCAAGCCTTATTTTTATTTTATTAAAGTCTAGTTTTATTTTGTATTTGAAAAGAGACACCCTGTTCAATTTTTTTAGGATGTCAAAAATGAGGTAAAAATTAGCAGTGGTCAACAAGAGCTCATGAATTTAAATTTTTAGAAGACAGAATTCTGTTTTCTCTGTAACCAAGTTACGTTTGTATAGGTAGATCTATCATGAAATGGAAAAGGGAAGCTCTCTGGGGTGAGGCTTTAGCATCTTAGAAGATGTTCTATAAGACACCACATGAAATTAAGGACCTATACATTCATATTTTGGAGAAAAATGTACACGGGCAGGAGAGATATGAACAGGAAACCCAACCATTCTTACCTTAATTAGCAAGCACAGGAGTTCTTGTCCAGAATTTATTTGATCAGTGATCCATGAAGTAGCCACCTGCCTAGAGAACCTCTCTCTTGTATAAGAATAGCTTCCCCACAGAAATGGGAGCATCCTACCAGGAATGCAACTGCCAGGACTTTCACCCTGCTGCTGTCACCACAGGACAAGCATTTCCTCACAGGTATGTGATCCAAGTTCATTTCCTCCTTGAGCATCTGGCAGCTTTTATGGGGAAGAGAGGGGGAGACTCATCCTGCATTGCCACCAGCAGCGTGAAGTCCAGCCTGCTACACTGTCAGGAATTAGAAGCTCTGACCTGCTCAGGTTTTCCTCTGATAGCCTCCTACAGACACCATCTTAAATACTAAAAAGATACTGAAGAGATGAGTGTTGTTACGTTACCTGGGCAGAAACCTCAGCTGCACACTGAAGGATGACTGAGCTTGAATGCAGCCTGTTCTGGGAAGCAGCTCCATGTGCTTCCTCAATTCTTTGCATACTTCAAACTTCAAACGCAGTGGGGCTTTTGCTCTGTGAACAGATCAGACATGCTCAAGTGGCTCTGAGGCTGCCACCTCAGCAGCATTTGCTCTTGGAGTTTGGTGTCCCCACCCCTGAACCTCTGCTCTATCTTATGATTACAACAATTCCAAGCTTCCTTTGAAAATTATGAGCATGTAAAGCTGCTACAGCAAAATCACACAGTTGTGTTCTCTTTTCAATATAGAAAACAAGGTTTTGTTATTGTTATAATGTTAAGATTAAGTAAACCCAGCTCTATTTCAAGCAAATTACACAACTTAGTAGAACATAACTATTGAAGTGCAGCACAGTGGTAGGTTATTGCAGGGGAAAGTCAAAGCCAAATTCTTGTCAAATAGCAGCTAACAGATTCCCTCTGTCTGACTCAATAGGAGTGGCTCGGGTGGTGTTTGACAGCCCTGACAGAGCCCACTCACGATGGAGAAGGAGCTGTCTCTGTGCAAGGCTGGTTCTAGGTTAGCTAACAATTGGTGCTGGGTGTGATGCAACAAAAAAAATCAGTTATTCTGTCTGAGAAACAGAAAAGGGAAGACCAGTGACCCCTAAGTGGGGCCAAGGATGTCCAGATGCTGCTTAAGTGGCCAACAAGCACTTAATGGTCCAGCCTGTAGTCAGAAAAATAAAAAACACCTGAAAGAGCATTGTACACCTAAAACATCAACCTCCAATACCAAAAATTAAGCCTGTACAGGTAGGAAACCCCCAAACTCAGAGGGGGCTGTCTTATGCCAGAAAAGCACTGGGAGTGCTGCTGCATTTCGGTTTTCTCCCCAAAATTGCAGTGACTTTTTAGATAGATGTGAATTCACAGATCCCTTGTAACTCCTCCAGCAGCAGGGATTCTACAGGGCTAGAAGTCACCGTGTGGCTGAGCTGGTGCTGCCAGTTCCTCTGCTGAAACGTGCCATCACTTTGCCCTGTGAGTTACGTAGGGGACGTGAGGAAACATCTCCCTGCTTACTGGATTCTGGCTGCATTATAATGCAGTGACAGCCACAGACTATACCCTGCTTTGGAATTTTATGCCCAAGTGCAAAATTGCCAAGCAATTTACTAATATTTCAGCTTGTCATTTTCCTTCTCTTGGACTGGTTCACAAGCTGTCAGTCCAGATGGTCTGCTCTAAATCAATGGCTACAGCATGTGGCACTGGGAGCCTGGAATGATTTCTGACTGTTGACACTCTAAGAGAACTAGGTACTACTTCATTAAATCACCACAGATTATAACCTGCCAAAGAATTCACTTTTCAAAGTGATTTATAGTGGACAGGTCTCTGATAAGACACTTCCACCCTTCACGCTGCTTATTTATGCTTCCTGATTGCCCTGTTCTGTGTGACCTGAAAAACACCAAACACACCCAAACCAGTAGCAGCTAACATTGCACAACTCTACAGAGCTCGCTGGGGAGCAAGTGCCAGAGCAACTGGACTTCAAAACTTCATCTTCTACTTAGGCTATGGGCTAGAGACAGACTGGACAGCACTGAGGTGCAGGCAAGTTCTTCCCACTGCTGCTCTCAATGGTGTGTACAGGCAGTGATGTGAATGAATTTGGCCACTCCAACACACCATCTCCCTCTGGGCTGGGTCAGACTTTGCCCCCCAAAACCTAAAGAATTCTCTTGTAACAAGTTTTGGGTTTTTTTTTTTTTTTTTTCCCCTACAGCTAGTTAGAGATTAGAAATGTGCAAGAATATTCCAAAATAGCAGGATTAAGTATCTAACTCACATTTAATTAAAAGATTCTGTGTTCTAGAAGTTATTCTCATACAATTTCACATTTACTGGACCTGAACTTGAGTTCTCACTTAGCTGAGGCATTTCAGCAGCTGTTAGACAAGCAGTTTTTTCAACTGGGCTGAGGCAGACCTCAGCAAGATGGCCTTTCCCCAGTGGTTCACTACTGCAGTTAAAAAATAGCTACTTCCTAGTCTAACATAAATTCTTCTTGACTCATAGTAATTTAGAGCTATTTTCAGGAGTTTAAAATCATTTTGTTTGAGAAGTGGTTTGACATGTACCATGTAACAAAGAGGAATCCTCTTTCTGATGCATGCTACAGAAGAATTCCAATAGCTACTAGTGGAAGAAACCTCTGCACCACACCAGATCCATGACATCCATCTGCTTTCATGGGATAACAAGCTGAGGCATCATATTCCTGCACATGAAATACTTCCAGGCTATGGAGAACTGAGTGATAAATCAAAGACTTGATTTGCCAGAGTACTAAGGACAGCACACTCCTTATTAAGTGCTCTTAATTTAGTGAAATTTGGTAAAGGATCAGCAGAGTTCTTCTCTGAGTTTTGCCCTATGCAATTTGATGGCTTCTATCTTTGGAATCCCCTTGAAATCTTAAGTTTTCCTTAGGAGAGTTATTCTGCTTCTATACTTGTAACTTTTATCCCTGGGTTATCTAGACCAAGTAAAATCACTTACATAACCTGTGCCTGTCATATCTGTAAGCTGAATTTCTGAGATAACAGCTTTACTCATTTCTTTCCAACTGTGAAGAATCTCTGCAGCCTGTAATGCTGGTAAGAGGTTTAGGATGGATGCCTTCTACAGCACCACTCTCTCCCCCACCCTCCCACAAACCCATCCCAATCCTATTTAAATAGGATCTAAGAAATGCAAATTGTTAAAATAAGCATTCAACAGTGACTGCATCAGGCAGAAGGAAGACACCCAGAATTCAAAGACAATGAAGAGAGTAAAAGTTCATGTACCCACTCTGACAGCATGAAAATCTCTTGGAGTCAGAACACTGAAATCTTATCTGTACATCACTGCAAACACAGCTGGTCTTGCCACACTCCTGGTGTGGAACACAGGCATCCCTGGGTTCTCCTTCTCCTGTCAAGTGCTGTTTGGCCACTTCCCATGTACTTCCAAGGTGCCTGTCACTCCAGTGCACCACTGTACAGGCTGGGAAATGCTGCACCCTTCCCATTTTGGAGTAAATGCAAAAGGACTGACATGATTTATGCAGCATTGCACCCCAAGCCTGGAAAGAGCAGTGATTGACCTCCTCAGTGAAGAACAGTTGGCTTGAGGCTGCTGTCCAGATCATAAGTCTGCCATGAACTTCAATTAAAACAGTTGAGAAATAACAATTCTTACATAAAATTTCCTGGCTGAATCAATTACACCCAGCATGCACTTGGTTTTAGACACACTTAACTTCCCAATGGTTGGTGTGCAAACTCCACAGGATGAAACTCCCTGGGGCTGCTATTCCCTGGGGACCCTACAGTTATACCACAGAAGAGGCACAACAGAGGGGATCCTGTAGGAAGGAAGGACAAACCCAGGTACTTCACAGCCACGGCTGCCCTTGGGAGCCTGGGACAGCAGGATGCCCAAGTCCCAGTTCCACAGCAGTGGCTCAGAGGGCTGGTAATCAGGATGTCCTCCTGCAATGCCAAGGGGAGACCCAAAGTGTTCCTCAGCTCCCTAGGATGACAAGAGGGGTCTGGCACAATGCAATCCCAAGGCATCCCCCAGTGATCTGAGAGAGCTGCAGAGGGCAGCTGGGAGTGGACAGGGAGCTCACCTGCTCTGGACGACCACGCGCTCCTGGTACAGCCGCTCGTACACACAGATCCTCAGGTCCAGGCTGGGCCTGGGCACCCAAATGGGCACGTCCAGAGCAGCTCCAATGGCACTGAAGCACAGCTGTCAGCACAGACACCACAGCTGCAGCCATGCCAGGCTCCAGTGCTTACTGATCTACACTAGCAAAGACATCTAGCAACAATTTCTGCTATAAACTACAGCAGAATATTTTATTATTCATATGGCAACAGGTTCTTTAATTAGCCAAAACCATGAAAATAATTTGTAAAATCAAACCTAGATGTTACAGTGTCCCAGCAAAAAGAATTATACTTTGGTTTGGCTTCTTTGACAGAGAACCTGAAGGAAGAGTGCTGCCCATGGTATTGAAAGGAAATATTTCAAGTACCCTAATTCAGAAACTCAAGAGACTGCAGCTTGTTTAGCCAGCACAGAAATACAGTGAAGGCAGCACAGTGCTGGACAGCCTCTAATGACCTTAGGTGTGACATCAGTGACCACACAGCTCCACCTGGATAAAATGCTTCTGAAAGATGGTGCCCACAGGAGCCTTCAGCAGGCACCTGCAGCTCCTTCTGTAGACTCCTCCATCTGTAGACCTCGGGTAGAGCCAAGATTGGCCTACTGAGCTGCTTGGAAGTTTTTCTTTATTTTTTTTGGCAAGCTACTGTGAACTGTTCCCAGGCAGAATTTGGCTTCCAATGCAGTGTAGAATCAAAGTATGCTGAAGTGGTAACTGAAGTCGTCGTCTCTTCCAGCTTTCACACATCAGTTTCACTACTGCATGTTAAATAATTCCAGTTCTGATGCATCAGGAAAAAAATAAACTACATAGGTTGGAATAGAGGAGAATACTCTGCTATTTGTTTCCAGGACATTAAAGGTTTTCCAGCACGATGTCTGATAAAGTGGTAATATCAGGATTATTTCCATAGAAATTTAAGATAATTTGCAGGTTTAATAACTGTACTGCATCAGAAATAAGGGCCATGATTTACAGAGTCACCTCCCCTCAAACTACGTAACACAATCACATGGCACCTCACTGTATTTCTTATACTGTTCACAAACATCTCTGTCCTTCACCACCTCCTCCTGTTTCCAATATAGGATTCTAAGCTCTTCTAATTCTTGGGAGGAGCAGAAGTAGAAAGACTTAAAAATGTTTTTCTACAGTGTTTTGAAGCAAGTCTTGTGCAAAATCACTCACTGGTTTGCAGTCTGAGTTGTCAAAGACGATCACAAACTCTGCCCGCACATCCCCAGGGACAGTGGGGACAAACAGAACCTGCAGTTTGACTGAGCTGAAGGGCCCAATTTCACCTTCAGTCACCTAAACAAGAAGTAACAAGTTTTTAATGAAAACGACTGTATTACTGCAGTCAGTTATAAGTGGTATTGAACTGAAGCAGCAGTGCACACTCATACTATACAAACCCTCTTCTACACCTCGTTTGTAATGAGATTGAACACACTGTGCAAGAGAAAAATCAGTATCAGTAGCTCCCTAGGAGGTTTATTGAGAGGAAGGGATTGGCCATGACCCATGGTTTCACAGCCAGGCATGGTCAGAACCATACTGAGCATCTCCTTTCAGGAAAGAACTCTGTGACAGCAGGATAATGTGGTTTTTACCCAAGTGTTTCCACCCTACACTGGAGAAGCTGTGTCTAACCACACAGCTGTCCTGTGCCACTGTTCCAAGATCTGCTCCACTGACTGCAGCATTAAGCCCACTTGCTTCTGCATGCACACATGGAGGCCATGAATGCCAGGAGGAACTGGCATCTCCACCCTCATAAGCCAGCTTAAAAATCCAGGTCAGTACAACATTTCCCAGCCATTCTTCCTGCCCCATCTTTTGTGTTGTCACTAGACTTTGTATAACCACAGAACAATGCAGTAGAAAAAAATAATTAAGAATTAACTGTGATACAGTGAAGTGCAGTGGGATTGACACTGATCATGTACTTCAGCAGTTCCCACCAGAGTCTAAAGAATTTATCTGATGTAGGCCTAGCCTAGAGACATCTCCTGATATTCATTACCTTTCCAAGCATAATTTCCACTGGTGTTTCTTCAGGAGGAAGTCCCACTAAATTAAGGGCATTGTCTGTCTCTGGATCTGATCTGGCACTTAGTACATCTTGACCAAGTTGTTCTGTGGAAAAAAAAAAAAACAACAATCCACAAACAAAACCCTACAGAATGCTGGACGTGCACATCTATTCACTCAACAGAAATGGCAGACAGGGCATGAGTACATTGATGTGGGACAACACTGCAGAGCCAACAACACACACCAGTGGTGGGGAACAAAGGGAATTTCTGTCTGGCCATACACCACCTTTGCCCCAGTCCAGAGGCCTCCCGTGGGCACCTGAGCCTCCCCCTGCAGAATGACAGTGTTTTTTGGACAAAGCACATGGCAGGGCCTGTTACACCAGGGATGCACGTTCAGCTGGAAGCATGAACTGAGCTTGAAGAACAGCTTCAGTGGGACAAAGTAACGCAGTCAGGAGGACCTGCACAGCAAGGGGAAGTGAAGCTTCACTTGATTTTCAAAACAACTGGAATAATAAGCACCTTTTAATTAAAAAGTCTTCCACTAGGGCTTCAAAGTGCCTCACACTAATGCATTGTGAGAGAGATGAAGTGAACTCTGGACTGCATGGCAGGACTCAAGTGGCAATGTTAGCCAGGAGAAGGTGTTCATGTGCCAAAGCAATGGGAATATTTTTTTTCTAAGCTCTGAAAACAGCTTTAAAGGTATGTGTTCTGTGGAGACAGCTACCATGATTTATGGAACCATTCCACTTCACAACATAGATCCCAGATTTAAAAAGAAAAACCACCCACAACCTACTCATGGTACTTTCAGTTTCCTGCAATTGGAATGATCAATACCCAGAAGAAATGTTCAAGAATACAGACGATAAAGAAATCAAGAAAGTCTTTCTTCTACAAGACTGGACTTTACAAAGCACATAGTAAACACCAGGAACGAGATGCAAAATGTCTGAGGAGGTTCATCTTTCTGCTTCCTTGTTCCTAGAATTACAGACTATAAAAATAAACCTGTCATGTGGATTTCTATTCTAAGAAGTGGGTATTCAGTTGCCGAGACAGGAATGATAACAATTCTGCAGTTTCTGTAAGCTAGCTGGTTTCTGTATTCTCTGACTGAATTGTTGATCACTAATGAGAAGTGAAATTCTCTGCTGCTTTTGATGTAATGGTGTCAGCACATTATTTTTAGTCATTCTTTGGAAGACAGGATACACAGAAATGTAACATTAAGTAGTTCATCACTCTAGTAGTAATTTACTGCGTAACTTTGCAAACTGAGTTCCACACTTCATGGCAGGAAACTCTACAAATGGACAGTGCTTGGCCCAGGAAGCTGCACTGCCAATTTCTGAGCCAGGCCCCTCACCTCTGGCACTGCTGCTCGGGCTAGTCTCAGGCCTCTGCTGCTCCACCTGCCCCAGGCAGTGGGTCACTTCTTCCTCAGGGGCAGGCCAGATCTCCTTCTCAACCACGGCTGCCACAGCACTACTGCTGGCTTCCTTCCCAGGGACATCTCCAGTAACCTATTGGAAAATACAGACAAAACACTTTCTACTGTACATTCAGCTAGCTGCACCTGCTCAAATTTGGTCAAGCAGTTGCAAATCAGACTTGTGCTTTCCTGCAACTGCTCCATGTTATAAATGGAAATATGTGCTGGGCTTTCTAAAAACTGCACATTCTACTAGACCTTTATCAATGAGCAGATTTGATTTGTGCTGCCTGCCCAAAAGAGGTAAATCCTAGAACGGGAGCAATACAATATAGAGTCAGTTATTTCCCAATTTATAGAACTAACATTTTCCTAGTGGAAACACAGGCAGATCTGTGTCAAAACAAAGTTTGCAAAAACTAGACTTCTGTTAATTACACACCTACAAATGATAGAATGCAGAAGGAAAAGCACAGACAGTTTTATTTCACTAATTGATCTTCTGAAGTCCCTTCCAACCAGAGCTGTTCTATGGTTCTGTATGATTCTACCAGACTTTGCAAAGCAGAACGTTTCTGTGAATTTAGGGAAGTGCTTTTGAACCTACCATCCTTCCAGGAGAAGATTTTGCTGTTGCTCTGCATGTCCTACTGTCACCTGCTGACGTCTGAACTTTGAATCTTGTTCCCAGAGCTCCACTGTTTGTCAGGTTGATGGTCCGTGAAATTGTCTCTCCCACCACATGGCTGCCAAAGTCAATGAGCTCTTTATCTAGTGCCAGCTGTGAAGATAAACCATTAATTACTACTGTCCCAGATAGTCAGTAATGTCAATTAAATGAGCATCCACCTTTTCAAGAATAAGACTTTAAAGTTCTTATTATCATTTCAAAGACAGTATCAAATAACATGAACCATGGGTATCCTTCTGCCTTTTTGTAGAAGCCAACTCATTAAAACAAAGTCTTGTTAAACTGAGCCACTTCCATTTCAGTCCACTGTATGACAAAGGAAAAATCAGGTTAAATTCTGTTCATAGTAGCAGCTTGCTTAAGTCTTCAGGCAGTTACCCTGGAAGTAGGCAATATTTACATACCAGCTCAACACTGGTACTCTTGAGTTCCAGAGAAATGGTTTTATTAGCATGAGGCTAAGAAGCAAGCAGCATTTAACATCATATAGTCACTGCCCCTCAGGCTGTAACGTACCCTGTCTTGTTTCTTTGAGCTGTCATGGTTTACAACCAGTTTAAAAAGTAATACACTACTTCATATAGAATTTTTTATTACTTGGTAACTGGATATACGATAACAAAAGGCTTGTAATTCCAGTTCAAACACCACAAAGCTACAGAGAACTTGGCTGCTTACTCCTATCCTGCTTACAGATGAACTCTTCCCACTTTCAGAGGGTAAAGAACAGGAGTTCTTATGTGCAATTAGCACACAATGAAATGTGAATTCTCTAGGTGAAGAAAACTACTCTGAACAAAGATTAATGTGCTGGCTTCCTGCTGCATTGTGCATTCTCACCTTCAAGGTCTTTTAACTGAAAACCATCCAGAGTCCTATACACACAGTCAGATATAAGGATGCAATGTCAATGCAATATCATTCTAGCTTCCTACTTCAGTTAATTCCACCCTGAAGTTGGAGTTCATGGTTAAGTAAATCCATTAAGATAATTTTGTATTACTCTAATAAGGGAAGTTAAGGAATTAATCACCTTCTGCAAAGAGACTCTCCATTTAAAAAGGAAAAAAGAAAGGCATGTAAATACTTCTTGCTAAATATTTTCTACAATGCTCTCTCACATTTTCTGTTACTGTTGTTACACTGGCTCTGAGCATATGTTAAAAACTCACTTACAATGCACCTCTTGGCTGTACATTTCAATGGAACAGAGAAAGAACCTGTCTGTGCCATAAACATGACTTCTCCTTCCAGAGTTTCATTTATCTGGAAAACAACAAAAAAATCCCAAGTAATCTGCAAAGACTTTGCCTGTGTAGTCTGATGAAAAATATTTCCACTCACTCTTTGAGTAACATGAAAACATATCTCCACAGATCCCACATTTCCACTGTAGAACAGTATAAACCTTTTTGTTTGGCACAGGTTTCAAAACATGCTCCAAGCATACCTAGAGGCAGCACTCTTCTAAAACGTGCCTCATTACAACTTAACAGAGCTTGAACACACACCCCATGGCCCAAGCACAACAGTGCCTTGCTAGGAAGGTAGACTTGTCCTTGTTAACAGTTAAGAAATTACTGATGTTTCTAATCAGACCAGTGGATCATACCAGGGTTCTCACTGAGTAACTCAGCACAAAGGTGCACTTACCATTGGCTTAAATGTTACCACAAATTCACAGGACATTCCAGCATAAATTTTGCCAGGTGGGTCAAAACTATGGAAATAAAACATTAACATAAAGCTCCAGATTAAAGCCATGTAGGAAACGGCCAGCTCCTAGTCTGGTAACAATGACAGATTTATTCATTATTTTTCTTTATTTGGATTACTTAGGGAAGTCAGAATGAGTGGCAGATGAATGAAAAGCTACAGAACCCTGCTGCAACTGTAGAGCTGCAAAGGCTGGTTCTTTATCGAGGTGTTACTCAGGAAGTCTTAGAGGAGTTTTAAAAGGCAAGAATTGTTGCCTTCATGCTACAAAGACTGTAGCCAAAGAAGTGAAGCTGAGGTTCAATAATATGATCAAGAATAGAGTGTTGCTCTGTAACATCTCCCCTGGCAGAACAGGGAACAAACAGAGGGAAAATAAACAAACAAAAAAGGGAGCTGCCAAGGATTACAGAATGTGCTGTTTTCTGCAAACTATCAAAATGATCTTGACTAGAAACTGCTGCTCATTCCAGTGCCACGGGAGGAAGTCTCCCAGCTGCACTGCAGGTGAAAGTATTATGGCACTGCTGGAGACCTGCTCTGCCCAACAGACCCAGGAAGGATGCCAGACAAAACAGATACCTAACTGCTGTTAGCCACAGGAATGC